CGCGCCTTCCCAGGTGTGGACACCACTCACCTTGCAGGGTAGAGACCTCCGTGGTTTGCACAGCCCGCCTCCTCCTCCTGACAGCGTGGGGGAGGGGGGGCTGGTTATGCGCATCTTCACCCTAGACAGCAAACCTGCCTGTCTGCTGCCAGGGTCATTCTTATTCTTTGTCACCCAAGATTTCAAAGGGTCTCCCTTCTGGGTTTCCCCTGGCATTTTTGGCGTGTGTCCGCATTTATCTTTAATATAAACCTCCCTGCCTCAAAAATTGACCTAATGCGGCCGCAGTCTCCAGCCTCGGGATCATCGCCAGAGCACCACCAGCCATGGCTTCTCCTCATCACTCTGCTTCACGGGTTGGTCACACGTGACCAGGCAGCAGCCGGATGTGCCTGCATCGACGTGAAGCTCTTCATTCTATGCTGCTGGTCTGCTTTGTGTAAACGTGGTGTAGTCATATACACACACCTCATCGACGTGCGCAAGTGCCACTCCGTGACGATCATTACAGCGAGACCTCGGTTGTCAAAAAGCTCTGAGTTTGAACTTCCCACCGTCGGAAAAAACCCCAAACCCACTGTGCTCATAGGAGCAGAACACGGGCCGAGAACACCTGCCTGGGCCCAGCGGCGGCGCGTCTCCCGCCGCATCTCTGAGTGGTCGCTGTGGCGCGCACGGTGACGCTGCACTCAGGCCGCTCGCGCTCAGACCGCAGAGAGTGCTCGTGTTAGTGTGTTAGAACTTTACCCCACGCTTTATTTGTGTAAATCTGCAGAGAAAGTCCGTGAAGCCGAGAGAGAAACCGTGAGAAGCACAGCAGAGTTGCACAAAGACGTCGCTGCAGAACTTGGATCGGGTTGCTGTTGTCTGGTTGGCGGCTGAATACAACATGGCTAAGTCAACACTGTCGTCAGTATTTGGGGGGAAAAGAAATGTGGTTAAAGGGGCTAAAATTAGTGAAAGGTGTGAGGTTGTTAACCAGGACACAAAGAAGCCAGAGCACAGAGGAGGGGGACAGTCCCTGTCATGGGGGTCAGTCAGCAACTACGCTGTGGAGACCGCGATGTGCAGGGAGGTTCAGGGCCTCCAGGGATTGAAGTCCTGGAAAAGTGGATTATAAGTTTGGTTTTCCATAATTTCTTATGGTGAAGATGCGTTCCGTTCTCCAGCTTCTGGGTGCTTGAACACAAACAGAATGAACCGAATTCGATAACCAAGGTGTCTGATAGAATATCTTCCAGCTCCTGTGGGAGGCCAGTGGTTCTTCTCCCCTCAAACTCCACAGGCATCTTCTCAGAACTCCTGTGTTCCTGTGGAGGTTCTAGAATGTTCTGAGTTCTTCCTACCTGCTACTCTTCTGGGAATCCCTGTGGTCCCATGGCAGGCAGTTCTAGAATGTTCTGAGCCCTTCCCGTGTGTCTGCCACGGATCTTGAAGAAGTGCTTTAGCGAGGCAAGGCGTCTCCCAACGGCAGGTGGTTTTAGAAACAGAATCCCACAGGGGCGGTGGGTCTTGCTGTACTCACCCAGCCAGTGTCAGACCTTTTCTCCGCCAGAGTCCGGACGAAATCAGGGCCCTGCGACAAGCAGATGCAGAAGTCAGACACCACGCGGTCCGCCTGCCCTCCCCCCACAGTGCAGAGCCAAGCCAGCACTCACTCGGGCTGCGTCCAGAAGCTGCTCGATCTGCCGGTCCTTCCTGCTGTTCTCCTCTTCAAGCCGCCGGAGCTTTGTCCGCATGAGATCCACGTCCCCTTTCTGCATGTGTAACGACTGACAAGAAAGGACCACACGCGCGTGCGCACACACACACACACAGCAGGAAGCAGAGCGGAACCGCAGCAGGAAGAGCTACCTGGGTCCCCCTGGACGGGGGGTAGGGGAGACTCGTGAAGAACATGACTGTCACTAGCGGGGAGTAGGCCAGGGCTGCTGACTGCCCCTCAGAGTGTGCCCCGCCAAATGCCACCACAGATACACCTCTGCCCCACACACTCTACTGGAAGCCCCACCCCACCCACATACGGATAATGTGCTCACAGTCGGTACCACGGTAAAATGAACCCTCCACCTCAGACTCCACCTGCCCTAGATTACTACTCTGCCTCACAGAGTGTCCTGACTCCCTGATAATACTCCGCCTCCCAGATAATACTCCACCTCAGTGTCCTGACTCTCCCCAGATAATACTCCATCTCACAGAGTGTCCTGACTCCCTAATAATACTCCGCCTCCCTGATTGTACTGACTCTCCCAGATAATACTCCACCTCAGTGTCCTGACTCTCCCCAGATAATACTCCATCTCAC